AACGAGAGGAAGAAAGCTTTAAAAATAATAGAGAAATAATACCCTTGAACACGCGGAAAAAAGGTGCACTTCTAAGAAACCAAGTATAAGGAAAACGTTTTATAAGATGACACTCATCCTAGATCTGCTATATCCAGTGCTGTCAAAGCCATTGTTCAATATTTTCAATTTCCTCTAGCCATCTCCTTTAACATTTTTCTGCCGTTACGAGACGAATAGCTTGCTGATTCACCACTTATTATTAATTACAGTAGGGTTTATTTAAAATACAACAGTAATAAAGAAAATACAATAAACATTATTAAAATAAAATAAGTAATGTTGTGTTATTAAATCTTACTTAGAAATATGATTTGTAAAATACTTTTTATAGAATTAATAATAATAATTACAATTTATTTTGCTTAATCTGATTCACACACTAAGAATTGTTGTTCGTGAAAATTTATGATTTATATAGACCACTACTGAATGGCTCTTCAAACTGTTATTCATTTATATAACTGGTTAAATAAAGAAGACTTTCATAAATAAAGAACAGTTTGGTAAAAAAGGAAGGATTCGAGTTTCCTTAAATATATATATATATATATACTTAATAAGTAATATTGGAGTTAATAAACACCCTTGTTTAACTCCCTCTCATGTCCAATATTTTCCTTTCGAATATCTTATTCTATCTTTATTCTCATTATTTCGTCTACAATTTTTCTGTAACACCATTCTGTTTGAATATAAATCTTGTGTATAATCTTCATCATTCAATTACATTCTTTTGTATCTTCTAGAACAGTTTTCTCTATTTATAGCATCAAGTCCTGATTTTAACTTCACAAAAAGCAAATAGCTTATTCACTTTTATCTGTGACGTATTTTCTATGAAAGTCAAAAAAATATTTTGTCATTGAGAAATATCTTAATATAAAATCAGTTTGATTTTTTCAAAATAATAAAATTCGAATTTTACTATATATATATTCATCTTGAAGTGAAACCATCTGGAACTACATTTATATATAAATACATTATATCTATATATCATCCGGAAAACACGTGGAAAGAAGTTAGATAATCTATGATTGGGAAAGTAGAATGTACTGTTTCAAATTTGCAAACTGTATAATTATAGTGGTAGATGTTAAAGAAGGATGGAAATGTTAGAAAGATATATAAATAGAACTACGTTAATGTATAATTTAAATAAATCAAACATAATGATATGTTGAATTAACGAAACAAGAGTAAGAAATGGGAAGTGGAAATGTAAGAATCAGAAAAAGAGCTGGTATAAATACTGAGGTTACTGATTTACAACTATTAATATATAAAATGATATGTTGTTATTGTTTGAAGTTAAGCACAAAGCTACACAATGGGCTATCTGTGCTCTGCCCACCACGAGTATCGAAGCCCGGTTTCTAACATTGTAAGTCCGCAGACATACCGCTGTGCCACTGGGGGGCATTTTATAAGGAATATAAGACAAATGAACATTGTACAAAGGCAAAGAGATACCTAAATGCAGAAGTAGTACAAAAAAAAGAGAAGAGGTATTAATGAAATAAACAGAAAATTCAGTTCCTTGATAATGCATAGGCTAGAAATGAAAAAGAAAATACATATATGTTACAGGGAATATCAATGAAATGTTTATTGGTTTGTTATGTCCAACGTGGGTATGAAAACTCAATTTTTAGCATTATAAGCCTACGAATTGCCACTGAGCCGCAGTTGTTGGAAGACGATAAAATAGAAAATAAAGAAATGTGAAGGATATCTCAAACTGTGTATGTTACTGTGAAATGCGAATGTTATATAAAAATTTAAAGGTGTAAAGAAAGGTTGGACAAATGAAAGTAAAACGGACAGAATATATGTTAATATATGATATTAAGAAACAACTGAAAGTATTAGGAATGATAAATAGAAGGTGCTGGAAGAGAATAAATAAATATTTGCAAAGAATAAGTAGATATAAGTTTTTAACAAAAAAAACGTAGACGAACTTCTGATCATAAAGCATACAGAAAAAAAAACTAGAGTGAAGTAGAACAGTCTAAGTATTTTACCTATTATAAAAATATAAAAAGAAGAAATTAAGAGGTGCAATATTTGAGGAAATGAGAAAAAATAAAATAAGTTATGAAGCACATTAAGATGCAGAAGTTTCATGTACAACAGAAAACATGAAGGATTCAAGAAGATTGAACATGAAATAGAATAAATAAAACACGTATACAGAAGTGTGAAGAGAAAAAATAATACATATTGACTAAAATTGAAAGAAATACGGAAAGAAATAGATGAAATTGGAAGATGATAAAATGGAAAATAAGGAAATCTGAAGGATATGTAAAATAAGAAAAATAGACGTTTTAAAATAGTAATACTTAAATATAATATATAAATAGGTAGTAAAATGTAAATAATTGTTTTGATTAAATTAAACTGAATATGTATATCAAAATTTTAATGTGATTAATATATTATACAAAATTATGTACTATAATCCTAAATAGAAATTTCTCTTTATACATATATTTGGCCTTCACATTATTATAACACATTTTGAGAAATGTTATAATTAAAAAGCCAACTTCAAGTCGGTCAAAAAATTTAATTATCTCAGAAATTAAAATAGATTAATTAAAACGATGATAAATCTTTTTGTGTCTATACTACAAATAGATTCAACTAGTAAGAAAAGCTTGATTAATCAATTCCTAAGACAAACGTTAGTTAATAATAATATGTGATTTAATTACATAATTTTACGGTGCTATCACAATGGTATATTGCATATTAATACATTATAATACTATTATATTTTATCCGTCCTAATATATACCATACGATAGATTAGATAGACAGCTCCATGTTTATTTGTTTACTGTTTAATCGCAAAGCTACACAATGGGGACTTCTCCCTGTACCCTTAGTGGTTATCGAACTGCAATGTTTAACATTATAAGTCCACAAACATACCGATAAACCAGAACTTAATGAATGAACAAACAGACAGATAGCCAGAAGAACTAAGATATCGAATGATATGTAGAAAGATATATTATTAATATCAGCTGAAGAAAGGGGACTAGCTAAGTAGAGCAGAGCTAAAACAATTCAAATTGACAAATACATTATGGAAGGATTTTGTTTAGAAATGTGGCTTACGTCAGTGTTTGTGAACTTTTGGAAAAAAAAGTATCAAACATAACACAGTAATATGTATCTCACCCATGTGATTATCTTAGGAAATAGAAACACCTCGACAATGCCCTAGCAGGTGGCGCATCCATGAGGTAGTATGCAACAATTCAGATATATGCTTTCTACAAAATTGCTGTAATTATAAATATAATTTATATTTATGCTTCCTTATTGTTTTCCTGAATGTCACATTGTTTCTTTATTTCATGCTTGTCTTCTTAACTAGTAACATATCCATCATATTTTCTTTGTTTCTTAGTCATGAACAGCTGATTTTCAATCATGACAGTTGTGAATTAGTTATGTTCAATATTGTGACATAGCGAAATGTCTGCAGGTATGTTCACGTTTTGCAACAGACTCTGAATTTAAAACAGACATACATATTCTTAGTCTTAGTTCCTCCCGTTCCGTTGGGAACATTGGTCAGCGAGACCTCGCCATCTGCTTCTGTCATGATCGGTCTCCACCGCTTGGTCAAATATTAGATCAACCAGTTCCAAATCCTCTTTAAAAGTTCTTCGCCGTGTCTTTTTGGCCTTCCTCTCCCCCTTCTCAAACTTGGCGGCACCCACTCCATGTATTTTTTT